CTGTGCATTATTATTATTATTATTATTATTATTATTATTATTATTATTATTTCCTTTGATTTCGATTGTATACACATTTCCTTCTAGGTCCCAACTAGACACTTAAGGTCAGAAATGGCTTCATGACATTTTCCACTGATCATTTTTGTAAAAAAAGAAAAGCAATCTAAGAACGCACATATTTTATATAGATAAATCGCATCGTAATATATGAGCTGTACTTGTGAGCACAATTTTATTATTATTATTATTATTATTATTATTATGAATACTATTATTATTATTATTATTAATACTATTATTATTATTATTATTAGTAGTAGTAGTAGTAGTAGTAGTAGTATTGTTTTCTTTGATTTTAGTTGTATATACTTTACGTTCTGTGTCCTAACTAGAGACTTAAGGTCAAAAATGGCTTCATGACATTTTTCACTAATCATTTCTTCTATTTAAAAAAAAATAATATCACGCACATTTTAAATCGATAAAGCTCATCGTAATGTATGAGCTCTACTTGTGGGCACAATTTTTCGTATTTTTTTAAGGCATGGGCGACCAGGAATCCCTTTAGTGTGTTTGTCGGAACGTTTTCCAATCAATCCTAGTGCTCCAACTACAACTGGAATTATTGATGTCCTCATATACCACATTTTTTAGATTTCCATTTCAAGATCTTTGTATTTTCGTAGTTCTTTGAAAATCTTCAAAGATAGATTACAATCTGGCGGGACTTCCATGTCAATAAGAAAGCGCATTCTGTTTTTGTGGTCTTTGATCACGATGTCTGGCCAATTAACTTTGATTGTTCAGTCTGTGTGTATTGCCCTTTGTATACTAATTTCGGCAATGTTTGATCTTCGTATTCGCAAAACTGGTGTGTCAAAACGTGGGTAATCTACTTGACATTGCTATTTTTGCATATACTTATGACCCGTTCGAAATGTTCATTGTTTTAAAAAGCGATGATTAGAAATCCAAACATATGAAAATCGATTTATACATTTTCTTTATTCTTGAGAACTGACAACAAAGATGTTATACGCTATTTATTAGATTGAATAAAAAAAAACTTGTTTTCATAGTTATTTATTGTACAGCGTAACCCGGATATAAGAGAGTCTCTTATATCCGGGTTTCTCTTATATACGGGTTTGGTCTATTTTCTTTAATTAAGTATGGGCTCTAATTTGGGACCAGAGAAAATCTCTCTTATATCCGGGTTTCTCTTATATCCGGGTTACACTGTATTGTACTTGGTTTACATATTTTGATAATTTGGTAATTTTTTTATAAATCTTTAAATAAAAACATTTCTTTTCAAATTTATTTCTTTATAAAATGGGAGATAATAAATAACGCATTGTATTTGATTCAGATATTTTTTTTTAATATTGTAAGTAAACATTGCCGCAGGAGCAAAATAACAATATGTATAATAAATAATAATAATGTGACTTTTTTTCCCTTGACACCGTAATAACGGTGTCAAGGAAAAAAGTCACCTTTTGACACACTGTTATTTACAGGCACTAAGGTTAAACATTGTCCTCATTTTCCTCCGAGTTCCGACCAGTGACCTAAGGTCAGAAATGGCGTCATGATAAACTTTTGAACAGCCTTATAAAAAATAAAAATAACTTTTAAACACACATTTTTGCATAGATAAAGCCTTTGTCAGGTGTGAGTGTTACTTGTGAGATCATTCTTTTTTTTATTTCTTTAAGGCATCAGCTCCAATGGATCCCTTCAATGACTATATCAGAACATTTTCCAAATTATCCGAGGGCTCCAATTACAATTGGAATTATTGATGTTTCCATTTGGAAAATTGTTTAGATTTTTTTTTCAAGACCTTTGTATTTTGATAGTTTTATTTTAAAGATCTTCAAAGATACATTAATATGGTAGGTATCGGCTGACTCTGAACTTAAAGAGACCAAAATTGTAGTCATCTGAGAAGCATACTCTCAGGAGTTTGTTCCACAAAGTAACAGTTCTGGAATAAAACTTGCTTTTTATCAAAGGAACACAAATGGAATAGGGAGGGTTTGCCACCGTTATGGCGGGTCCTAGCTGTGAAGGACTGGCACAAGAGTTCGATTTGGGCCGAAAGTGGAGTAAACTATTATCATTTTAGATGGGAGAAGACATCCGGTCCCGGGGATTCCAACCTTGCAGCAGCATCTCCCTCATTGCACTAAAAGAGGTGGGATTGGTATAATATCAACACCAGCGTAACAGCGGTCGCGATCACTAAACAAATTTTGTCCTTGGCCCATACGTTTGGGTACGGCGTTGGGCCCTTCGACGTGGTGTAATGGTTAGCAAGCTAGATCATTTACGACTGAATAGTGAGCTCGTTCCTCACTCGGTGCCCCATGTTTTCGGGCTTGTGCCACATGTAAGCAACGCTTAAATAATTACCATAGGTATGTGCATGGCACTCGTCGCATCCAAACGACCCTGTGTCACATCCGAACTTGGTGGGGAGGCCCGGTAAGTATACCTAGCTGTGAACGTCTGAACTGGTTGAATTAAGGAATGTAACTCGTCCGAAAATCTGCCACATAAAATAACGATGTAATACTGAAAGGCTGGCAAATTTCTGTCTGGGGAGGGAGATAGTTAACTAATTTTTTTTTATTTTGATTTGTTTCTTGTTTTTGTTTTTTAATTTCCATATATGCTTTATACAGGGTAACCCAAAAACGGGAACTTTTTAACAATCCAATAAAACCAAGAGTGTGGGAAGAAACATATTTTATTTATAGTAATTGAAACCTTAAAACATGCCATTTAAGAAACAATGATGAAATTTTCATTTTTTAAAAATTACGTCCTGTATATGGCGTCCTCCTGTACGAATGCATTCTTAAAATCTGCTGTGGAGATTCCTCATTGACTGCTGCAACATCTCAGCTGGGATACTGTTAATTTCATCTTGAATTCTAAATGGCGAAATGTTTACTTGCTCAAGGTCACTGTCTCGCAGTGTTGCCACTTGCTCATGTCTGGCAATACGCACTTCAAAAATTCCCGTTTTTTGGGTCACCCTATATTTCAGTGCTTTACGTTGCCTCAATGCTTCACTAACTTTTAAAAAAATAACGTTGGGTTTTGTAACGCCATTATTGATTAATTTTTAAAAATTAACATTTAATTAATTTTTCATTAAATTTTTTTAATTGTAAAATTTTTAGATAATAATTATATTGCAATTTTTTAACAAATAATTTCATTACTCAGTCTCTGACAACATTATTCAGTTTTGGTAACTATCGTAAACATTAAGTATTGATTTGTTTTCTGTTGTGTCAAAATAAACAAGAAATGTAATTTCTTTTTTCAGCTTTTAGTAAAACACTTTCAGAAATCATTTTTATATTTTCTAAGATTAGTTATCGTTAAATTGTGACTAAATTCTAATTCAGGATTTCAGTTTTTGTTCTGTTTTGTTTTTCTAATGTTCACTAAATACAAGGCCCAAGAGCCACTCAAGGTGGTTTTCTAAGAATAATTTAGATGTGGCACAAGGCTGAAAGCAAGGGGTACCCACTGAAGATCGAACTCACTACTCAGTCGTAATTGTTCTAGCGAGACAAGCTTGCTAAACCACTCCCGGGGGCTCCGATTTTCTAACCGAAGCTTAGATGTGACACAAGGTCAAAAATATGGGGTACCCAATGAGGATGGAACTCACTACTTAGTCGTAACCATTCTAACGAGAACAAGTTTGCTAACCATTACATCACGTCAAAGAGCCCAAGAGCTACTGAAGGTAGGGGATTACTGAAGATGGCGGTTGTATGAGCGCTCATATACCATTGATACCTACATGTAATAATAATAATAATACTGAAATTTCACATTAATATAAACGCTATATCTAGTGGCTACAGGTGTTATTTCCACCTGAAATTAATGTCATTCGGGCTTACGGCCATATCACGTTGAAACACCGGTTCCCGTACGATCCTCAAAGTTAAGCAATGTCGAGCCTGATCAGTAACTAAATGAGTGACCGCTTTCGAATACCAGGTGTTATAAGCTTGGGTTTTTTGGGTTGTGTAATGGATAATGGCTCGGAATTGTTAATTGGAGAGCCGAGTTCTAATTCCAGTTGCGTAACTACCCTTGGGAAAGGTATGAACACACCTCTTCACCCCCGCAAGTTATGGGTTACTTAATAAGACTCGTATCATTGAAACCATTATTAACTTAGATGTGGCACAAGGTCGGATATATGGAGCACTCGGTGAGGCTGGAATTCACTATTTGGTCGTAACTGAACTAGCGAGACAAGCTTGCTAACCTTTATATTACGTTGAATTGCTCTGCTCGCCAAGTGTGCAGAACACAATAAATAGAGAGAGATGTAATTATTTTCATACAGCTAAAAAAAATACCTTCTTTATGCTGAATTGACAAAAACTCTTTTTTGAATTTCCCTTATTCTAACCATCAAATCAAACCTGCAAGTACATCATGACTTAACGACTATTGAAAACGAGTCCACTTGAGTTCCATTCATCTTTTCTTTGCCTCTCCTATTGTCCGAGAATGCAAAGAGATCATTACTGATAAACTAATGCATCTTGTCACCACATCACAGGAAAGGTCACCTATCAGTCACGTCGATCACCACACAAAGAACTGATAGAAAAACAGTTTGTTCGTTTATAATTGACCAAATTCACCACATGAAGCAAGTAAACTTCATTTCACTCATGAGTTCCATTGCTGTGGCAGTTAGAAAGCGGTCTATTTCAGCCTAAAAATGTATGACTCCTCGTAAGAAAATAAAATGATGTAAGCCAATGACTGTCGTAAGATACAAAGGCTATAATCGGTATCATGTACATTCTTCTTCTTCGATGCGCCTTAGGATTACGGCCACACCACGTTGAAACACCGATTCCCGTACGATCATGGAAGATAAACAACGTCGAGCCTGGTCAGTTCCTAGATGGGTGACCGCTTGTGAATGACAGGTGCTGCAAGATTGGATGTGCGGGTGTTTTAATGGATAATGGCTCAAAATTGCAAATCGGAGAGCCGTGTTCCAATTCCAGTTGTGTTCGTTATATTCATTTACGCACAACTACCCTTGGGAAAGGTGTGAATCCGCCTCTACTTTCCCCGGCAATGGGTTAATTATCACTAAATTCTTATTATCTCCTCACCCCAAATTCTTACAATCTAAAAATATTTTCTGACTTTAAGTAACTTGCAAAATGTTAAGACTTAGAAAATGTGCTTTTCCATTCCAGAAAGTGGGTGATCATGGCCCTCCACAATTTCCTCTCCTTTGTTGCTCATAGTAACGTTTGGTCTCTTTAAAAATCCCTTTTTCATTTACTTCAACATGCTAAATAAGTTCCCATTTCGAATAAAAGATTATCTTTAAAAGTGTCAAAGCAAATCGAAAATGGCATATTGCTTCTATATCTGGGCTGGAGCTGTCCGGTCCGCAATTTCCAGCCGTGACAGAGTTCAAAATTGCTTATGCAATCCTTGTGGGCGATGGTTTATTTTCTACCCTACAGTCCCTATCCCACTCAACGTAGCAAAAATATCCCTACTCAATCGCTACTTGGCAGATATTCTGATTCTTTAGTATCTTCAGGTTTACAGCCAAGACCAGCCTGGTTAGGCCCACAAGATTAAAGCACTCTCATTATCTACGTATTACCTTGGTAAGAAGGGCGTTCCACGTTCCAGTTTCTTCCAAAGAATTGCTACTGTGGGGAAAAAAAGACTCCCAAGTGGATGCTTCCCCGAAGACAGAATTTTTAACTTTTTCAGGTCTAGCGTCAATCGTTATCTATCCACCATATCCTCTTAATATCCACTTCTTACTTCTTCCTCTTACGTTCATTCAGCAGTAACCCTCTACCTTGAGTGACTCTTAGGTTTTGCATTTGATGACCTTACTATGACGTCAGTTAATGTCGTCAAGGCTTTCTTCTTTTTCTTTTTTATCTTAGCAATCTCACAAAAGAAAATAGTATCAACGTCGTCAACGTATTTGTCCCGGTTTCACCAACAGGTGTAAGTTCGTGCAGTGGCCAAGTTTTCGGTGCCAGATTCCATAACTGACCCATTGTCAAAATGTCTGACGCTAAACAGTCTTGTGAAGTATAGTATATACTATGTTATACTGGACATCCATTTCAGCAATAATTATTTTATGTTGTCTGTTGGTCTTTCTGATTTTTTTTTTCAAGTCGGGAATGGAAAAATGTCAGTAACGTCCGGAAAGTATGCAGCCATTATCGATGATGTTGTAAACAATTAAAAGCAACCACAGCAGAGCACACACCCGTAGATTTTGTTCAAATAGAATTGAGTCGCCATGAGGCGAGTTTCTGTATATTTGCTACTGTTGCATCTGTTATTCATGATGACGGTCGTCTTCGAGTATAGAATCCAGAGGTTAGCAGTGAATATTTCGAAGACAGTAGGAAAGCGTTGTTCAGGTTAGCAGTGGATATTTTGGTAAAAGTAGCAGAGCATAGTTCGTCCTTCTGTTTCTCTTCGCCTGACAAGCTAGAACTGGACATTCGGGTAGAGTGAACAAAATGGCCGCCTTTATACACGACGGATTGAATATTCTACGTCTTCTGATTAGTTAAGCTTCTATTGGTGGACTATAAAGTGAGTCAAGGCATTTGGGCTAACTCACTAGTATATATACACAAAAAACTGCAACAGCATCCACAGTGATTATGGTTCAAGTATTTCTTGAAACATGGACATCCGTTCGCTAAAACTATTCGAGGGATTAAAAAAAATCTTCATGTAGGGATAAAAATTCAATGAGCGAAACGTAGATAATGTTACGCTACTGACCAGGAATCTGTGGAAGTCTATCTACATTCAAGTTGAACATCCGGAAATGTTGAATATGTGTCGTCGGCAATCAAAGAAAAGCGGCAATCGACTAAGAATTCTGGGGGTTCCACGGACTATCCCGGAAATGTCCAGCAATATTGAATATCTCTCCACTCGTCTCCTTAGCCCCCGTGCTGTGATTTTTCTTCATGCACTATATCACCAATACCTGTAATGTGCCCTCAGTCTGATTTGGCTTTTCCTGAAGCTAAAATTGCAGTTGAAACAGATTTTAGACGAGATTAATGAGAACGTGATGAGGCAGCTGATGACGAGTACTTTGCAAATTGACTTTAAAAATCATAGCGACGTTAGGATGAGTATGTGAGTTCTCCAGAAGAGTATTTTGAAAGAACTCAGGCGCCAATACCCTAGCTATTTTACATATTTCTTAATAACAAATGGTTGTATAATTTATGGACAGACCTCTAACATACTGTTTCCCCAAATCTTGATTATTTCAATATATTCAGATGTTGAAAATGTTTTTATTTGAACATCTTACTCGGTTTGTAGCTTACGTTATACTACAGGGAGAGTGAACACATTAGATGAATTAAAAAAAAATCTTCCGTTATGCCAAGAGGGTTAATTCTAAATTTATTATTCAATATGCAAAGTGTAAAGGAAAACGAATATTTACTTCGCCATTATATTTGCAAGCTTCAAAATTGCTATATTTATGGTCAAAATACTTTCGAAGAGCAACTGAAATGCAGAAGGATAGACTACATCGTTTGATAAGGTAAGGAACAAAAATCTATTTGGACTAATAGAGAAACTTGAATTATTTAAAATGTTAGGGTGGTCAACATCATACCCCCTCTCCACGGTGATCCAGTCGATATTCATTGGGTTTCGACTTGTGTATCTTCCGTTAGCTACAATTTTTTCGTCTTCCTGACAACACACTATGCGACTCCTCTTGGCAATTTATTGTCCAATCCCGGATGACTTCCGGTTCATCAGCAGTGTGCGCGCTTCCATTAAAAAGGAAGCAAACACAGCTACAGTTTCTATCTGGTAAGAAACATGGCGGCGTGCTCGAATAATTATATAATTAGACAGATAATTATCTAATCATTTATAATTGTTGCGAGTGTATGATTACTACTTAATTTACAATCTTTCCACCTGTTCACCTATAATAGGGAAAATCCTACCTCAGTATGGTAAATGGTAGCTTTCGGGGGTTAACATTCAAGATAATAACAAACAATAAAGGAATTAATAACAAATGTAATTTTCAATTTATTATATTACTATCATCATCATCATCATCATCATTTCACCCCATGCAAGGCAACAGAATGCATGGGAGCCACTGAATGTTAGAGAATGAGAGCAAAAAACGACGGGAGAACGATAAAAGAACAAGAATTAAGAAGACAAGATAACGATTGACGTTGCATTTAAATTTTGACTGGGAAACAAGAAGCCGGAAGAGAGTTCCACAAGTGAGAAGTGCGATATAAGAAACTGTTAGCATAGAAATTAAGGTTACATCTGGCAGCCATTTCAACTATAAAATGATGAGATCTTGCCGCCAAACTGGTATTGCGCTTAAATACATTAAGTCTCGATACCATAGCGGAAAGTTCATCCGATCAATTATCATGAAAGAATTTATAGAAAAGGATAGTGAAGCTATGATAACGTTCAATTAAATAAAATATATTTTGGAGGCAAATATTAAAAGATAGAGTCTAAATATTAAAGAAAGTCTGCAGAAGAATTAAACAGGAAATAGGACAGGACACTGGAACAAGGAATGCAATGTATAAACTCAGAATGATATAAAAAAAAAAAGCAATACAAAACCGAAAGAATGTATACCTATTTTAATTGCTGGGAAAACTTTGAAATGTTAAACTGGTATTTTCCTTTCTCTGTCCGTCGAAACTGGTAATAAACCAATCATTTATAATTTTTGTGAGTGTATGATTATTACTTGATTTACAATCATTCCACCTGTTCACCTATAATGGGGATGATCCTAGCTCAGTAAATTAAATAGTAATTTTCAATAAACTAATTTAGAATAACTGTTTATATCATGAGTAAAGTTAAACGTCAAAGATTTCATACAGTGTTTATCTATAAACTGACACAGAAAGTGTAACGAAACAGTAACCACGACTATATATTAGCACTGGGTACATTTAACCCCAATGTCGGTTTACCAAATGGTAGGGTGGCCTGTTACTTTCTCCGTCCGCCAAAACATTTCCTAAAATAAATCTATTGGATGCTTTAGTACACATCATCAGTGATGTTTCTAGTTGGTGTTCATTAGGGGTTTCGGGTATTTCAACATCATATCCCGCTCTCCACGGTGACCCAACCAATACCAATCGGATATAGACTTGCGTATCTTCCATTAGCTACAAATTTTTTCGATATTCCTGACTACACACTATGCGACTCCTCTTGGCAATTCATTGTCCATTCCCGGATGACTTCCGGTTAAGAAGGAAGTAAACGCATCCACAATTTCTAATAATAATAATGTTTAAAATAAACGAAGTGCCTACAAATTCATAGAGGGTAGCCGAAAAAGATACGGTATTATCTATAAATAACTCAAAATAATCTATTAAATTGATTTTCTTAAAACTGAATCGAATTATTTGAAATAAAATTGAAAATATTCAGATGTTTCTCTCTTATTTAGCTCTATGTAGCGATGTCCAGAGTAGGAATTTCAAGCGGGCTTAGCATAATGACAAAAATCATTTAGAAAATCGATGTCTTGCTAAAAATGTTTATTTAGAAATGTTAACGTTAAAGTGAACTTCTATGGAAAATTACTGTTCTCTGTCTGTAGTGAGTCAATCATGGAGTAATTCAAAATAACTTTATATCATGAGTAAAGTTAAACGTCAAAAATTGAATGCAGTGTTTATCTATATACATTGATACAGCAAATGTAAAGAAACACTAACCACGACTATATATTAGCACTGGGTATATTTAACCCCAATGTCGGTTTATCAAATGAAGGGTGGCCTGTTACTTTCTCTGTCCGTCGAAACATTTGGTAAAATACATCTATTAGATTCTTTATTAGGTTTCTAGCCGAGATTAATTAGGGATTTCGGGTGTT